TCGTGTTTACATATTAAGTAATGGCAAACAGATATGACACCGACATTATCAGGTTTATTGAATCTGGCCAAACAATTCCATCAAACGGAGGAAAACAATACCATCAATGATTGATATCGGCGTGTTGAGTAACCAGTTGTTAGATTTACACAATGATCTGCGTCGTGAGGTTTACGCTGTAAATTGGAAACGCGTAAGCCTTTTCTAGTTGATTTTTGTAAAGGGAGGGGGAGGGGGGGGGGAGGAGGCTACACCCCCAAAGACTCGATTCGGCTATATATTATGGAATTTAAGTTGTAGGTATTTTTAGCTTCCTCAGCCTATCCTACAACTATATCATCGCATAAAACCCCCCGAAAACCGTATTTTTTTCCATACCGGGCATGTTTATCTCCACCATTTCCTCATAAAGTCAATATCTTTTTTTTTTTAACCAGCCGTGTTCTCAAAACGGGACGTTTCTCTATACTCCACCATTTTTCATCCAATCTTTAAAAACTTTACACAGAATGAAGAGAAGATGAAATATTAAAAATTTATCTGTTGATTTTAAAAATATTTGGAATAGCTTTTGTTGGTGGTGTCTTGAGTGTGAATTTTCACGGATTTTTGGCAAACTTGAATGGTACCTCAGAAAAAAATTCATAAATAAATTTTAAAAATTCGTTTAGGAAAAAAACAACCTAAATTTTTTTAGATACAATGTTTGTTAACACCAATCAATCAATTTTCATGAGCAGTAAGTGCGGTATTCATTACATGTCAACAAAATCCAATATGGCCGCCGTATCCATGGAAACGAAACTTTTTCTAATATTTGATTGCGGTTTTTAAGATTCCTTACAATGATTGTTATATGTGTAAAATTTGGTAAAATTCGGTCCTGTAATAAGCGAGTTAGCCTTCAGTTGTAGCCCCCCCCCCCCTTTAAGCACAACCGTTCTTGTATGTTTGAGGAGGTGATTGGGTGTAGCTTTTGGTGCGTTATACGTCCTTACTACAAACCTGTTGCTTTGTCTGGTAGGATCCTCTAGTGCGCGGCTGGCGGGCTTCCTGGTAT